ACCTGGAATCGTGGCACATTGTTGTAGTCTCAGTACACAGGAGGCTGAGGCAGGAAGTTGGTGAGTTTGAGAAGAATAGCAAGACCTTCTCAGTTTATATATGGCTAGGGATATAGTTCAGTGGTAGAGCTTGTCTAGCACACACAAGGCCATGTTTAGTTGAATATGATAACCTTCCTGGAAATCCTTTCCAATGTTAAGATCCTATTTCATTTTGTATGCATTTAGGATCTATTCAAATCACTGAATAATTTGAAGCACTTTCTGTGCCAGGAACTATAAACAACAACACAAGAGTAAATAAATGGGATGCAATCTAGTATTAAAGAAATATTGCCTGGTCTGTTACCATGTTGTTTCTGCTTGTTAACATTTGCATGTCAAGTGGCAGACGTAGCTGCTTGGCCGATACGGCCTCCTTGAAGAAGATGGTGGGTCACTATAATCATTAAGTAGAAGTTAATTATCCTCATCGTTATTATTTTGTCATTTGCTCTAGTAATACCACCAAGGTACACAGTGGAACTCGCCTGTGGTTTTGGAGCCACAGTCTTTTTGGTGGTGGTTCTTATTGTGGTCTACCATGTTTACTGGCTGGAGATGGTCCTCTTTTACCGGGCTCATTTTGGAACAGATGAAACAATTCTTGGTAAGTACTGGAAGTATGATACAAATCTCTTGTATCATCATCTTTAAACTGCATGTTTCTTTAGCAGATAAAACACTGAATTTAACAAGATTATCCTTTTTTTTTACTAATTCTCACTAGTAAAAATATCTTTCCAGTATGCAGTGTTCACCTTTCTTGATGGATTAAATTAATATGATTTAATCTAGACAAGCATTGTCCACATAAATAATGTGATGTATATCACAAATGAAATGAACATCCCCCCCCCCCAATGTTTCAAAGGCCATAAGTGAAAATAAAGGTTTGACTCAATGTTCATACATGGTTATTTCAGCATAAAAATAATATTTAAAGGCTAATGAGATGTTTTGCAGCCTTTAAATGCAGAATGTTACTTTGCAGTCATGGAACATCTCAGTAGAGACAGCTGCACTCCGCTGGTCAACAGACACATGTGACTCTTGGTTACTGGATAGGACAGTGCAAGTTCACAGCTTTTTGTTTTGCTTTGTTTTTTCCTTTGTGTTTTGACACAGTGTCTCATTGTATAGCCCAGGCTGACCTCAATCCTGAGTACTGGGATTGCTGGCATGTGCCACCATATCCAGCTGTAGGTTCGTTCACAGGCTTCAAGGGGAGAGCTATGGACCAGCAGCAAAATGATCATCCAAAGGCATTTAGGTGGAGAATCTTAAACATGATTCCCCCTGGACCAGAATGTACACTTTAACAATACCCCCAGCTGGCTCAAGTGGACATTATAGCTTAAGATTTATCATTTGCCTCACTCTCACTATTAAAAATATCTCCAATGTTTATTCCTGGCAGAAATTTCTTGGCAGTATGAACGAGACATTTGAATCTGTACTGTACAAGAAAAGAAGAAACAGCCCACCCTATAAGACTCTAATTCAGCAGACCTTGGGAAGAAATACATAATCTATATTTCTAATCACTCATGAATTTTATTAAGCAAATTTAGGAAAAATCAATATATTGATCTTAACATAATTTAATTATCGTTCTTTTCAGGTATAATTTAGTCAGTTTCAAAAAGTCTTTCTCAATTTAGAATTGTAATGTATTAGTGAGTAGTTTTCTAGAACACTGAGTAGAAATTTCCTGCTTGGCATTAGCTACCAGTACCTGTGGTGTGCATCCCTGCTCCCCTAATTCATGGAACAGTCTTTGTCTGCTACAGGGTCTGCTCCCTCAGATGAGAGCCGAGACGCAATCTCAATCTCCATGTTTATTCTACCTGAATACTGTGAATTGCACTGAAATCTGCCACATTGTTCACACAGCTTAAAAAAAAAAAAGGAAAGGAAAGAAAATGTTCAACACCCATAAGTCAGATTTAAGAGGAAAAAAAATCAATTTGAGAAGTTTTTCTAATTTGCTCTGGCTCTGTGTTCCTTTTGCTAGATGGAAAGGAGTATGATATTTATGTCTCCTATGCAAGAAATGCTGAAGAAGAGGAATTTGTGTTACTGACACTCCGTGGCGTTTTAGAGAATGAATTTGGATACAAGCTGTGCATCTTCGACAGAGACAGCCTGCCTGGTGGAAGTAGGTATTTCACGTGAGCACCAAGGGTGATCCCTGAAGGGCCAAGTGGAACTTGAGCTTTTGGTGCATGAATGGGTGGTAGCACAGTAATGGTATTCAGATAGCGAATGTACAACTCAATGGAAACCTTCTCCAAAGCTAGAGCTACATTGTAAAGTGGACACGATTCAGGAATGGAGTTGCAGGACAGAGAACATGTAGCATTGCCCTGTTAATACAACATGCCCTTTGCCACTTCCTCATCTTTGCCTCCCTTCTGAGCCAGTGAAATGCTGCCAGTCAAATCTGCCTTTTCATTGTTTGTATTTCCTTTCCTTTCAGTGTGTATGTTTGAGTTTTAGCTTAAAATATATAAAGCTATTGCTATCAAGTTTTACAAGGAAATGCTTCAACTAGTGACTATTTTAAAAACCAATGCTTCCTCTTTTCAAGTCCAAATAGTAACAAAGTCGTGGTTCATTTGGGAGTTTTGTGGCAAGCCTGTCAGCAACACTGTGATTTCCTATAAGACTCTCGTATCTGAAATGAGTGAACTGCCTCCCATATGGAGCATAGCAAGCTGTTCCCCCGCACACACCATTAACTGTTTGTTTGATATGTTTTTGAAATGGGTGGGGAATGATACCTAGAACAGTTTTTTCCCCTCTCCTTTTGAGTTAGTAGATCGGTTTTCTTATCTGCCTAACCATCACCCCAAGGCTGTGCTACAGAAGTTCTCTCTTTCAGTGTCATTGTGTCATGAAATGATCACTTACATGGCTGAAAGCAAAATTCTACTCATATTAATACTTAATTTGCCCAACTCATTCATGCATCTATTTATTCATTCACAAAGCTGATCAAAATATCTTACCTACTATGTGAAAAGTGATTAAAAGATACACAGTATACATCTGGGTAAGAACTTCCACCGGGGGGCTGACAGTCCTTTGAAGAATGCATAATTATTCTTGCACATTACAGGGTCTGTTCTCTTTGGATTCCTCTTGCTGCTCTTCCTGAGGCCACTTTGCTGCTGGACCTCTTTCTATGCGTATACATGGTCAGCCTCCAGTGGAAATACTTAAACACATACCCATGCCTGGATTCTTCCCCAGGCTGCACATGTTAGATTTTAATTGGCAAATCCTTCCCTATTACTTCTGCACCTGTGAAGATTAAGAATGGAAATGACTGCTGAGGGGAGTGTGATACAGGTTTCCACAACACCAGTGCATTGCCTGGAGCTAGTGAGCGTCTCTCCTCCAGGTGAAGGATTATGTGGGTCTCCTTGAGCATCTGTGAGGAGATAGATTAGTCCCAAAAATTTAGCAGCAGGAATTAATCAGAGCCCTTGAATAAAATTAGGCTGCATTTCCATTTTCTTCACTTTTTTTTTTCCAACTTGGAGAAAGCCTTTGCAAGTTAGTGAATGTAAACACACCAGCTAGCAGTTGCTGAAGAAGAGCTTCCCAGTGAATGGAGGCTAAGGAGAAAGATCCATGTTCTGCTTTCATCTCCACAGCAGAGAACAGGAAGGAACTGATGTGGGAACACACTGATGGCCAAAATGCATTTGCTTGAGTTACTCATCCAGCAACATAGTGACATCAGTTGGCATCAGGAAAGTCCACGTCTGTAGCCGACTTTCTTGGACTGCCAGCCCCCAAATCATGACATGGAAACTTATTAGTAATTATGAATGTTTGGCTTTAGCTTAGGCTTGTTTCTAGCTAGTTTTTTTTTTCTCTTTAACTTACATTAACCCATTTCTGTTAATCTGTGTGCTGCTCTGAGGCTCCTTTACCTTATCTATGTACTGTTCATCCAGCTTTCCTGATTCCTCCATGTTTGGCTGCCTGGCACCAGCGGGCTGGCTCCTGGCTGGCTGGCTTCCCTTTTCTCTCTGCCCACTAGCCCTGCCTATCCCTCTTTGGCCCAGCTATTGGTTATTCAGCTTTTTCTTAGACCAATCAGGTGCCTTAAGCAAGCAAGATGAAAAAGCAACACTTTATATAGTTAAACAAATTCAGCATAAACAAAAGTAACATCTTTACACAGTTAAACAAATGCAGCATAAACATATGCAATACATCTTTATGCAGTTAAACAATCATTCTATTCCATAACACACATCAGCAGACAGAGCCTCAAATGTGACATAATCTGCTCTTGTCCTTGGTTAGCTGCAAGTGAAACTTGGGGGCTTTGAATCTGTAGTACATGTTTTTTAAGATTTTTCATACAATGGATTATTCTTGGGTACCTTTCCAGGGCTAGTTTGGCTGGGCCACACACTGTTTGAAGAAACTGGTGTCAGGACAATGTATCTATCCCATCTTGTTCAAATAGTCCTTTTGAGGACGAGGTGACAGCAGTCTACCGTATTTTGGTGTTAGCTTATTTGGACATGTTTTGGGCATGGGGCATTTGTATATAACACCATTTTCCCTAGGCAGAGTGACATTCAGCAGACAGTATGTTTGGCCCGGAGATGAAGTTGCTCAGATTGCCGTCCCCAGTCCCTTCCCTGCCTTTGCTCCTTGAGCTCTGCACATCAGGTAGTTCCTGGCCAACACTAATCCCCATGGTGTTTTCTTTCCCAGTTGTCACAGATGAGACCTTGAGCTTCATTCAGAAAAGCAGACGCCTCCTGGTTGTCCTAAGCCCCAACTACGTGCTCCAGGGAACACAAGCCCTCCTGGAGCTCAAGGCGGGCCTAGAAAATATGGCCTCCCGGGGCAACATCAACGTCATTTTAGTACAGTACAAAGCTGTGAAGGACATGAAGGTGAAAGAGCTGAAGAGGGCTAAAACGGTGCTCACGGTCATTAAATGGAAAGGGGAGAAATCCAAGTATCCGCAGGGCAGGTTCTGGAAGCAGCTGCAGGTGGCCATGCCAGTGAAGAAGAGTCCCAGGTGGTCTAGCAGTGACAAGCAGGGCCTCTCCTATTCATCCCTGAAAAATGTATGAAAGGGAAAATGAAGGAGTGGAAAGAACAAGTGGGCTCACGGAAGGAAGAGCCCCCTTCCTCCCTCCTAGGCTGTGGCTTCCTAGATAGATAAAGAACACTGTCTAAGCCCCTCATACGAAAAACAATGTCTAAGTCCCTCATCCTAGGGACTGTGTGGCTGGCAGTTCTGCTTCTCAGGCAATCCTAAGGGTCAGAGTGATGTCTCTACAGTCTGTCACCAGTTCTAAAGCCATGACGATCTTTGCAAGTAAAGATGTGTCCCATGCACCCTCCATCTCTGTTCCTCCCTCTATTTTAATCTCTTTGTAAAAATGTCACTATTTTGCCCAGTGACTCAAAACTCCTTTAATGATCAGTTACCTGCTGACAGGAGTATTACCTGTTTCTCAGTAGGATTTTCCTTTAATTTTATTTTATTTTCAGTCATCCATTAAACATATGATCAGGGACTAAATCTATTTCCACTGAGGATAATTCACTCCCTTCCTTATTTGTCTATTAAATCCACCACCTCAGCAAGACTAACAGTCAAACTACAGCTGTTCCTCATGACTGATTAAGTGTCATACTGCTTTCCAGCCACTAAACCACATTTGCCCTCATCTCAGGTAATGGATATCATATTTATAAACTTGAAAAAGGCATGGATTTTGTTTTTATCATAGTAGTTTCTCCATGGTGTACAGATAGATAAGTCCATACTTGTCATTCCATCTATTGTATCCACTATACCTATTGTATCCATCATACACATTTCACAGGTGGCACCAAGCTTTTAACGGTGCTAATGGAAAGTGAGAAAACATCAAAATGCTCTCAGGGCATTTTTGACACCGGAAGAGAGCATATAACAAGATGCTTGCCATTTGTCTTTTAATTCCAACCTTACTAATGTGAAAACCAGGAAAGTGGTTCATCCTCACTCATTTGCACCCTCTCATTATGAAGTGGAGTGGAGAGGTAGTGATTTTCCTTTTGGCATTACTATTCTAAAAGAATGACCACTTCCAATTATTTATTCACGAGTACATGTAGTACTTTGTTGTGAATGAAACACCCTGAAAGTCACTAGGTTTTTTTTTTTTCAGTTTTAAGGTGAATTTTACTATTCCTCAGACTTGTAAAAATGAAAACTAAGTGCAACATTGACATTTGTAGTGGCCAGTTTCTGCATCATGTCTAACATGTATATACATATGTACATATATACATATACACATATTTTATCTCTGTACATGTAAATTTCATGTGTGTATGTATATAGAAGTTCCCACAAGTTATGTGCATGTGTGTATATCCACTTGCCTATAAATTTATCTGTGGGTATGTATTTGGGGCTATACGTAATCACACACATACAACTTGAAACAACCATTGGTACAATATTAAAAGCCGGTAGAATTCTTGTCCAGTTTTAAAATCATGTTTGTAGTGTGATGGCTTTGTGTTGGTGTTTTCATTCCATTACTGTTCGATTTGTAAATTTTTGGTTCTCTGTGTATAGTTATCATTACTCTTGCCTTCCCTGGGTTGGTATGAATGACTTACTATTCTGACAGCTGATCTGGGGTGCAGGGGTATCTCTTGTCCAAGGACCTCCCGTGATCATGGCTCACAGCAGACAGTAACCTGATATCAGTTGATTTTTCCACTATATTCCTGCAGACACATTTAGAGTCTAAGTTATATTAATCTCAGTGCTCAGCTGTGTGGACTGTTGAGTGATGAAGAAAAACAGGTATAGGTGCAAATGAGTCTGAGCGTCCTATGAAACATAACTCATAATTTAAGGAAGACTTTATCCAAGTTAATGTTAATAAGCAATTCTAAAATTATCTCTTACTTTTAAGTGGCCATCAGTACATATGTCCACAATAAATCATTGCTGTGTGTTAGAATTATTGATTACTCTGAATTGAAAAGGGTTCCCTTGTGAATCCCTGACCTAATGCTATAATATATAGTCATTCTTGCATCTAAATTTTTTAAAAAGGTTAATGCCTTTTGTTGTTTCAAATAATTACCGTTTCCACTAATAACCCTTTAATGGCAGTACCAGATGGAAGCTGGCTCCAGATAAGCTTTGAAAGTTACTTCTGGTGTGAGCTCTAGGGAAGCAAGGGCCAAGCCCCTCACCACAGGCCATTCCCTGCACTGTGCTGTTCCTGCACTGTTGGAGTCTGTTTTCATCCCAACTGCTACTACATGCCGCTAGAAATGCCTCTGCAGTTTCCTATTTATATTGCTCTTGATTATACTGAGTCTGCTCCCTTGCTATAGTACAAAGCATATCAAGTCTAAGCAACACAGCCCATCCTAAGTGAACTTAATTTCAAGACTCTTGTCTGTGTTTCAGCGGATGCTTGATACAGAACAGCAGCGGGAGGAGAGGGTCACACACTTGTACTTCAGAGAACGAGAAAATACATCATGTCTCTTATGAAAAAACATCCTCCATAATTTTAGATTTATGGTAAAGGGAACTTCTGCACCCAGGTTAATAAAGAACCATACTATATAGAGTTATAGAGTGTCTACTTACACAGCCACATGTGACTTATTTAATTCTATTTTGTACCTTAGATGAGTCCCTGGGATCCTAATAAAAAAAAGTACTGTCTTATACTGTCTTATACAAAACATCACTCCACTTGTTACTTATGCATTTGTTTCCATAGGTTTTAGTACTTTAAGACCTTCTTTTTAATTTTATTCATAAACATTTGTATTTTCCATTTTCATTTGATTTGTATATTTACATATTTTTACAATAAACCATTTATTTTCACCTTTGAATTTTATTTTGTGCATGTGTTTTGTGTCCTTATATTCATGTTTGGGCTTGAGAAATAAGTAAAAAGAATGATTATGCTTTCAAAAAGAAATGAAAGAAGTTATAATAGTTAAATATTTATTGAGGAATAAGAAAAATGTGGACTTTGTATCAAGAACACTTCCTTTGTGTATGGGTAAAAGAATTGCTTAAGTAAAGTGGGTAGTCCAATACCTTAGGATGGGGGTGTGTTGGGGGGAAGGGAGGCAAGAGCCACACTTAGCATCACTTTAAAACAAAACCACCACAGTTATTTCTCTGGTTTCAGCTTCAAACAGTACTAATGTACAGACAACTCTTACCAGTCAGAAAAAAATGGAGCCAGGATTCATGGACCAAAGTCATGAAGATACAGGTTTCTAGTCAGTTAATAAACAACTGTCAGGCAGGGTTGAACGACAACAAAATTCTCTACTGTGCACGTACAGAATCCCCCATTACAGGAAATATACATTGTATTACATTTTGTATATGGATGTTTTACATTGGATAAATGGTAACCAGTCTTAAGTTGCTTCAACCCATCAACAGTGACCTTTAGAAGACTCAGTAATGGCATTGCATTGGGGTCATCAGTCTAGCTATTACTTGCCTAACTAAATTTCTCCATCCAGTTGTGTGCATCCCTAACTAGATATGTTATGCAAGCAAAGTATGGAACACAGAATGAAAGACATGTTCAGCAACCAATCCAGTGTTTCTTTTTAAGGATTTTAAAAATTAAATTGTTATGTATTTATTTTCTATTCGTGTGTGTGTGTGTGTGTGTGTGTGTGTGTGTGTGTGTGTGTGTGTCAGGGTATGCACTAGTCAGTTCTCATATTCTGCCCAGGGATCAAACTCAAATTGACAGGCCCCTTTGCCTGCTGACTCATCTTATTGGCTCTGATTTCTGTGTTTTGGCCAAATTATAAAATTAGTTGATATGTTTATTGAATATGGACTTAGTAAATTCATGATGGAAATAGGGTTTAAATTTTCCACATATTTAGTTTATCATAGCTACAGATAAGAACAATTACTACTAACACGATCTCTTCGTCCACTGCTAGTTTTTGTTATGGCCCTAGACTTTTGCTTTTATCACATGTGATTTGTAGAAGAATACACTCAGATGCAAAGGTATTAAGATAAAAAAAAAGAGATCGAGGAAAAAATAAAGATTTGAATTCAGATGGCTCTTCAATGTTGCTCCTTTTTTTTAAAAAAGGGAAAGAAAGACATAGTGTGAGAGGGGAGATTTCTTCTCCAAAAATCATAGCAAAGGAAAAGTGTCAGTCATAGTTTTCTTGTAGATGAACATGACTTCCATGGGTATTACAATGTTTAAAGGCATGCTTTTCCTTAAGGATTGTAGAGTTTTGAATCAGAACCATGACTTAAAAACCAACCTAGTGATTCAAAGGAAATGAATCCATTGCTGTATAATTAGACCTCATTCTTCTGAGCCAAACAATAAATCACCTAATTCATTACACTTCCATACAAACTCTAGCATTATAAATGATCACCCTCATCTTCAAATAGCTTTGAAAATCTGGGAGGTATTTTAAATAGCGTAAAAGGAAGCTACTGGTTTCTAAAGTATGAAGTAAAGATCCATCTTGGGAGCAGCCCCAGTTCTTTGTCAGTGTCTGTTTCTGCCACTCAGTTCTGCATCCACACTGTCCTCTTTCAAATGGAACCTCCCTCCCACTTCCTTTAAAGGTAATACATATATATATATATATATATATATATATATATATATATATATAATTCCACAAGACCAAGACAATGTTTAATTTCTATCTTTTACTCCATCCTTGTTAGCCCATTGAAAACAACACATTTTCCTTACAATCATTTTTTATTTGGTTGCATACACACTTGTGGGATTTGATTGTGTAAGTTTCCTGTGTTGAAAATCTAGCCATATTGTATTAAGATTATTTTCTATTTCTCATGATCCAGGTAAAGCAGCAGAATTCTCACAGGTGTGATGTCTAATATATTAAAGACAGTTCATCAAATCTGAGTAGGGAGAATGGGACAAGGGAGTTACTGAAATACACACCTGCACACCTACACATCTGCATCCACACCTGTGATTTTGAGAACTGAAAAATCTTTCAATATCAGAATAAAATAAAGTCTTCTAATTTTTAGTCAAATTCAGATTGAATTCACTCCACTCATTAGAAAGAATGAATGGGGAAGGGTGCTGGCTTCCTCATTCCTCTCAAGTTCATGGCTATCAAACTCACTGCAAATTCTCAGTGTTTCTATAGGCTGAACAAAAAAGCAAATACAGCCTCAGCACTGGCTGCCATGTGTTTGAAAAGTTGTGGACAGTAAGAGCCCCACTGGCGGGCCTTCTTTTCCTTGCTTATCTTGTCTAAGTCCCTACAATTCACCGTGGGTTAAATACTGCATTCATTTGAAGAATTGTCCTTTGGGACCTGTCCATATCCCCTCAGCAAACATTAGAATCGAGTGCTCTGCCAGAAGTCTTAATTAATTGATTGATTCTCAACTACTGTGGTGGCATTCGGCTCTTAAATTGACTTTAGGCCACTTCTTTATACACACATACATACACACAGAAGAAGCAAAAGAAAATTGAAGCAGCAAAGAAAGGAAGGTGGGAAAGAGGGAACAAGGAAGGAAGGAAATCTTAGTTATAGAGACCAATACTTACTGTGTCCAAAATGTTAAGTACCTGGGGCTGGCTGTAACTCAGAATCTAGGGAGGTGGTAAATCCTGGTAATGTGCCAATCAGACATTCTGGAGAAGTAAGTATGTTCTTTGTTATTCAAAATATTTTTCCAGAAGACATATATACAAGTTGAATTATTATTCTCAGGACTGTGATAAGAGATGGGGGTTCTTGAACTTATGTATGGTATAGAATAAGATTAAATACTTGAAGTCGCTTAATCCAGACATAAGAAAAAGTAGTAACATCACAATAGCACCTAGCTACTTTGAACGTTTAAAGATATCTGATCTAAGGCCATCAGATAAAACTTAAGGAAATGAAAATTCTAAAACAAGAAATGATTTACAAGCAGAGAGAGAGGGGGGGTTGCTTTTTGAAATAGATCATCTAATTCGCATTCCCTTTTATGATGGGGAAGACATTTTCACGAAGAGATCTGCAGTAGAAGGAAGTGTTGTGTAGGGAGAGACCAATTTCAAGGGACTCCTCTTTCTTACAAGGAACACATTCTTCCCAGTTTGTTGTGATTGAGATTACTTGACTACTTGATCTTGACTTCTTGACATTCTATTTTCTCAAAAGTTTGTTCATGCCCATCCTTCTAGGACTAGAAAGTGACCAACTGGGTATGAAGACATCATTACCAGATGCTATGCTATCTTTCCATTTCCCTGTAGATACGGTGGAAGCAGTGTTTGATTTCATTCAGCGGAGCCGAAGGATGATTGTTGTCCTGAGCCCTGACTATGTGACAGAAAAGAGCATCAGCATGCTGGAGTTTAAGCTGGGCGTCATGTGCCAGAACTCCATTGCCACCAAGCTCATTGTGGTGGAGTACCGTCCCCTCGAGCATCCCCACCCAGGCATCCTGCAGTTGAAGGAATCTGTGTCTTTTGTGAGCTGGAAGGGAGAGAAGTCCAAACATTCTGGCTCCAAGTTCTGGAAGGCCTTGCGCTTGGCTCTTCCCCTGAGAAGCCTGAGCGCCAGCTCTGGCTGGAATGAGAGCTGCTCTTCTCAGTCTGACACCAGTTTGGATCACGTTCAGAGGAGAAGTCGTTTGAAAGAGCCCCCAGAACTTCGGAGCTTAGAGCGGGTGTCTGGAGCAGCGCCAGCTCCGGGCATCATGTCCAAGCACCGAGGGAAGCCCTCGGCAGCTTGTCGCTGCTGTGTCACCTACTGTGAAGGAGAAAGTCACCTCAGGAGCAAGAGCCGGGCAGAGATGCATACCCAACCCCAGTGGGAAACACACCTCTGTAAGCCTGCTCTCCAAGAGTCGGAAAGTCAGTGGCTACAAAATGGCACCAGACCTGAGCCTGCTCCCCAGATCTCAGCTCTTGCACGGCACCATTTCACAGATTTATCCAATAACAATGACTTTTACATTCTATAATCACTTTAGGTGGAGGGTGGTGGCTGCTATTTCTACAAACTCTCTCTCTCTCTCTGGGTCACAAACCTTTGGGAATAATTGACATTTTTATCATCTAAATAGACTATCAGATTTGTGTCCCCTTTATTGATTTTTTAAAAACTATTTATTTCTAGGAGACAAAAGACCGGAAGCACCTGATTGCAGTTATTGCCTCTAATGGCCTCGGAAGAGCACACTCTTCTCGGGCCCTAGAAGGTCAGTATGTAAAAGTTGTCTGGAGTCTGATCTTGCCCCGTGGTTCAAAAGTAGCTAAGAACTGGTGTTTCCTTATGATATGGGTGGTGAAGTATACTTGAGCTTTGACACAGGTGTGTGTACCCAAGGGAGCAGGGCTTTGACATTCACAGGGTGAGTGTACCCAAGGGAGCAGGGTTTTGACACTCACAGGGTGTGTGTACCCAAGGGAGCAGGGTTTTGACACTCACAGGGTGCGTGTACCCAAGGGAGCAGGGCTTTGACATTCACAGGGTGAGTGTACTCAAGGGAGCAGGGTTTTGACACTCACAGGGTGTGTGTACCCAAGGGAGCAGGGTTTTGACACTCACAGGGTGCGTGTACCCAAGAGAGTGACTTGAAAAGGAGCAGGTTCTGGTCAACACTGTAGGAGAGGGTTCAGCAACAAACCTACAGCACATTTTGCCCCCCAGGATCAAACTTTCTCAGAGGAATTCATGCTTCCTATTGCCTCCCTGTAAATAGTGTGTTCTAAACTTCCTAATGTTGTCAGTCTCAATAAAGGTATATTTTTATGTCATGTCTTTTGTACTAACAGATTTTTAATGCCCTCTCCTCATTTTGCCTTTTCTGGCTTTCATATTCAAGTCTAAAGAATATTCCATTTCAGGAAATTGAGATTTGGATTAGGTAGAAAATGTAAGGGGTTATTTTGTTTTGTTTTTCTTTTTTTCTGATGTGTATTGGAAATCTATGAAAGTACCAAAGACACTGAGTTGGCATTCTATGAGAAGGGGCGCTTATGGAAGAATCTTGCTTTGTTCAGATCACAGCAGAAAAATTTAGTAACAAACTGTAATGGAACTGTAGGTAGGGTTTGGCACTTACATCCTTTCTTCACAATTCTGAAAAGAGATGTTGAGTTCACGTTCCTCCAAGGGTCAGAAGGTAAGAGAAAAGGACAAAAGGGGACACATGTAAGTTTAACTCCCATGCACTCCATCCCACACAAAAGAGGATAGATTGCAGGTTCAGCGTTGCAGGCTTTTCTGCAAATATTCACATGAGAGTAAAAGGCACATAGCACTTTACTTTCACACTGGGGTCCTATCAGGAGCCCTTGAGCTTACGGATAACTGAAGAACACATGAGTGCTCACTCAACTCTGTTTGGTTGTTGCCACTGAATTAGACTCTGCATGACAGACTGACCAGTTTCTTTTATGAGGTACAAAACATTAATATTTGAGTGTATACTTTCAATTATATCCTGACTTTAATTTATAAAAATAAAGTCAAAGAGTAAAAAACAATTCAAAACAAAAACCAAGCAACCAACCAAACAAAAATCCTTCATCTGTGGGTCCTTAGTACGTGATTTCAGGGCAAGAGTATTCAGTCAAAGAATGCATGCTGAAATAGGGGCTCAAGTGCCATGGACAACTCTGGCCTTGGGTAATGCAAGTTGGCTATGAGAACATATGGGAAATGTCTATTCCTTCTCTACCCTGAAAACATCTGGCCTTCATAATAGAATCGATCTGATAAATCCTCCAGCCCAGGAGACAGCTGAGAATCACTGCATCTTCTTGCAGCTCTGTGTGTTCCATGTTTGCTAGAAGAAAGTTATAAGCACAAAAATCTGCTCTTACTAAACAGAAGTAAATCACAAGCCGTTGCAGCAGACACCATTCGATGTGAGGAGTCACCTTCCGTACAGCAGCCCCTTGCTGCGAGTGTGCTTGGTCCAGAGCCAGGCTCTCTCAAACACAAAGGGAGCGGTAGGGAGATAAAACACAAGTGAAAAATCCTACAGTTTATCTGCCGAAACTAGAGCACCCCCTGTCTAAAACATTACTCACTACAGAAGGTGTGCCTGGATGTGGTAGTCAACAGAGATGACTTAGCATGACCAAAGGGCTCATGTCAGATGGCATCATTTTCTGAAGAGATATTCAAAGGCCTCAACTTAGCTGCCAGAAAATGGGTAATATACATGGCTTCACATTCTATGAAGGGGAGAAAAGGATCCAGTCCAATCCAAATTAGCCTTATTTCTTATTAACATACCCACTGTAAAACATCTCTGAAAGAAAATTAGAAATTACTTTTGTCACTTATGTGTCCTTTTAAAAAGTACTCTGAAAATTTCATACATGAAGGTGCAGAGGTGGATCAGGGATTAAGAGCACTGACTGTTCTTACAGAGGAACCCAGGTGTGCTTCACAGCACCTACATGGTGACTTATAACTGTCTGTACCCCAAATTCTAGGCAATCTAATGACTTGACTTCTGAGGACTCCTACACACGTGGTGCACACACATAGAGTTAGTACACAGAATAAAAGTAATTATTAAAAAGTATAAGTAAATAAAGAAAAGAAAAATTCACGCATGTATACAATGAAAGATGATCATAGCCACCACTGGTCTCCATTCCCTTTAGGAACTCTCCCTTGATCCTAACAGCAAGTCCCCCTCCCAACTTCAAGCTTTAATGCAAATAATTACACACCAAGCCCTGCTACCAATATGTGTATGGATGTAGGACCAGCAACTGAAGCATAGGCTACTACCAGTGCCACTACCCCAAAGAAAGATGATTCTCCCTAAACCCTGGTTTCTCAGCAGCTCCTCTGCCCTTCAAGCTAGAATGTGCTTGGCTTGTGCAGATAACCACAGCTGCTCCAAGTGCCAACAGATGTGTCACATCTAGAACGAAGCATTTCACACTAATTCTTCCTATTTTACAACTCATAATTTTTTCTGCTTCCTCTTCCACAGTGTTCCTTAAGCCATGGCAGGGTGATTGATAAAGCTGTTCTAGTTAGAGTTGTGTACTCACCATCATTTATTATCACATTGACTAGTTATGAGTATCTTCATTGACTCCATCCAAGTGCAAAAAGAAGCTTTTCTGACCAGCAGAGGTCTATGGTTATAAGTATAAATATTTTGAAGGCAATTTGTAGGACAATATGACCATTTAACAACATAGCAACAGTAAGTTCCACCTAAGACCTATGCATCTCCCCTCACTGTGGGATTTGATAATATTTTAAATACCAGAAATCAGAAAGTAGTTGGCGACCCCATAAACATCATGCTTCTATTGCACAAGTGGACATAACTTGCCTGGGAGGTTGGTATTGTATCATGGAGGATTCAGTGCTGAGTAAGACAATTAATGTCGTTTTTTTCCCAGGCTGTAACAGCACCTTCTGACCCTAGGGAAGCTAGCCAGCAGAAAGAAAGTTTCCTGGTAGGTGTGAGGGATTTCTTTAGGTCTTGTAGATAAAGTGCTTGGAATCATCATCTTCTTAGGAGATAAAAATAAAGAACTAAAGGCAGAGGTATGGATAGGAAAAATAAATTCTTTTAAACAGTGGTGTAATTTTGATACTCTCAAAGCTAATTTTTGATATTGATTTTCTTTGAAATGTAAGTACATGGTTAGGAACATAAAGTCATATTTTGGGGCATTTGTCTATCTAAGAGTCTGAAAGATACTGACCTATGTTTTCAACTTATGAAGAAAGACTCAGAAATTAACATTATTCCTTGACCCATCATGCCACAATAAAGTGATAGTCAGTGTCATGTATTTCAATAATACAATTAATAAGGAATTTTACTTATGGGCCATCGCTATTTATCATTGAAATGGCATAATTATTGGTTAATTGGGCATACCATTATACAAGTAACATTTTTTCTTTAGGATCATGAATTTAAAGTCAAGTATAGCCTTCCTTCTTTCTTTTCTCTTAGACTATGATTTCTTTGAGCCTTGGTGTTCTGCTAGCTAAAATGGAAGTACTATTATTAATCTCACTGTATGTTTTGAGCATTAAATGATATGCTACAAGCTTAATGCATATACAACATTTCTTTTTTTAAAATGTCCCAATTCAGCACAGAACAAGAAACTATATCTTGGGTGAGTGGCTTTCCCAATGATGCTCAGACAGTTAGCAATAGACTTGGGCCTCTAACCTGGGCTTCTATCACATTTTCCAGTGCCAGCTCTCAAACCAACACTAGTGGATGCATGTAAAAGAACTTTTATTCCATGCATCCTAAGTGAACTAATTTATCACAATCATGTATATCATGATATAAAAAAAACATACATTAGAGTTCTCTATAGGAACAGAATAAATAGAATGGAGAG